GAAGACATCTCTTCGAATACCTCAACCGTAATCAGAAGGTCACACTTAGCTCCTAAGGTGAGCAAACCAACCATATGGTAAACTTCATATGTCGTAATCTGAGTAAAAGGACATGTTGCACTTTGCACAATATTAAAAAGGATATATGACAACCGAAATCAAAGCTTGCAGTAGGTGAAGAAAGACTCGCACGCGCAAATATACCTCTTAGAAGGATTCCAAGGTTGTTCATCCGTTTTAGGGTCTCTGAAGTCCAGGCCAGAGGACATGCCATATGACTTCATCATTTTATCGATCGTCTTAGAAGTTGACCGAGTTAGGGGCACGTTGAAAGGGTTAACATAGACGGGTTGCAGAACCAATTCTTCTTCGACCTATGAATTCTCTTGATGTTATCGAGGAGACAAGTTCCTTAAAGATGAGGGACAACAATTTCTAGGCGAGATGAGCTGGAAACAGCTTCATCCTGTTTATAAGTGACATATGTCAAGTTTTACCTCAGCGACACAATGATCTTGCTGCAAGTACACATCAATCAATTGCAATACTTAAAGGTCGAATCCACTAGATACTGTTAGGGCATTATAAATTTACACATTGACTTGCATTTTTTAAAATTGAAGGGTAAGCTTACAAGAAAAAAAAAACTATTTTGACGATTTTTTTTGCAAAAAAATCCAATTTCTAAACATACATAACTACTATTCAAAGAATTAAAAAAAAAAAAAAACTATTTTGACGATTTAAGTTGAGGTTTTTTCCCTCGTAGAATATCTATGTTTAGTTTCTACTCAATTTTGGCTATCTATTTGATTTAAGTTTTGCAGTTTAAACTTGTACAACGGCGGTTTCATTAAAGTAACTCGGAACAAAATTGACAAAAGCAATCAAAAGGGGAGATTTCTCTAAATTCAGAGAATTGTTATCATGTTATCGTAATAGATTTTGGAAATCCGGCTGCTATTGTGGATTCGGGAACACCTAATTGTCTACCTTCGGTTCAAAACAATATCATCTTGGTATCGCTAATGTGTCAACAACGATTATTGTCCTCACTTATTTTCTGATGCGGAAAGGACCATTAGTTTCTATTTGTATGTCATATGTTGAATTTCTTCTTCCATGACGTAAACTATTTTAAGTCAGTTTCAATAAAATAAAGTGTTAAAAAAAACATACATAACTTTTTATGTGCAGATTTAATATACTTAAAATGGAATCGTTCTCGTCACCTGCGGGCAATGTCTTCACTGGGACGTCCATATTTGTGGTTGTGCCAGTTTCTACTTGATCATGATGGTACATCGAATGTTTTTCCATTTATCCATAGAGCCATTAGCCATCTTTTCACTAGTCCCATCTTGGATGCTACGTAGTGTTGGAGAGTCGGCTTGAAAATTGTCAACGGAATAGATCACGCTCTCGACGCCATCATATTCCTCAAATGTCTAATCCTGGGATCCAACCATGGATTGCGATTTAACCGATTTAGTCCTTGAATATACAATCTTCGCCTCGTCTTCAGCCATGACGGCACAGCCGACGGTTTTCTGGGTCCTCCTTGCTGATTTTTTCTTATTGATCCGTTTCTTTATTGTTTGATGTGGTTAGATCATTTTAGAAATTGTGTTTGTGATTTCGACATGTATAAGACCTTTCAACTCAGCCAATGTTGTCGTTATCGTCATCCGGCCACCAAGCGTTTATGAAAGTGCATTAGGAGTCATGCCTTTCTTTTTTTGTCGTCTATAGAGGACTATATTCCGCCTTAAGGGCCTTATCTTTCCTTTTCTTCTTTGTTCAGAGCTGGAGTTTCTCTAGTTTCGACCAATCATCCTTTTTCCATTGATCTTTTTTTCTAAACCTTCAACATCCATCTTTTGTCTCTACACAGCAGCTTCGTAGTCTTTTACCACTGCTTTCTCCACCGATAATAGTACCCGGTCACAACAATAATGATAAGCAATTGTTCATATTTGTTTTTGACAGTCTCACGAATAGTTTATTTGAAAGCTTAAAGAGATAAACTATTTTTTCACATTTCAAGTCTATCTATTCTCTTTCCATTGGAGTCTTTAAATACAAAAAGAAACAAAGAGACCGTTAGGAAACATGAAGATATAGGAAAGTGTAGATCAATCCTACAACTTAGGAAACCATGAACGTAATTTTCTTCTCTTAATCAACATCTCCGGTTCGGTTGTATTGATCGAACCGTTTGGTTCGCATCAAATGCATGGCGTCCCATGGATATTCAAGGAAGAAACCGATATCCCGATTCATTTATACTAAGTTGACTTTCATAAGTCCAACCTGTAAC